GGGGGGGCAGTGGATGGGACAGGGCCGGGAACCCCCCCCATTCCCCATTCTTAACACAAACCCATTTGTGTCCCCACAGGACGGGGGGGTCTGGCACTGCCCCCCGGGCCAGCGGTGCCTCCAAGCTGCCATAGGGGGGGGGGGGGGGGGGGGGGGGGGAAAACCCCCCCCCCCAGACCCCACTGTGGATTTTAGATACCATTAATATATAAAATCCCATTGACACATCGCTGCCTCCGCCTCTTCCTCCCCCAAAATCGTTTGGTTTTTTTTCCTACAAACCCTTTATTGGGGTGGGGGGCTCACAGCCCCGGGGGGGTCACAGCTTCTCACAGCTCTGCGTGGCGATGTCGCAGGTGTAGCCCTGGGGGCAGCAGTGCTGGTGGTCCTTGCAGCACACGGCCTGGGGGGGAAAGGGGGGAGGACATGTCACGGGGGGGGGGAAGGGACATGGTGCCACCCACTGCCACCACCCCATGCCACCCCACTGTCCCTGCTGCAGATTGTGCCCCCATTGTCACCCTCGTGTGCCCCCAGGAATGGGGACACAAAGGGAGGGGGGGGGCAGTGATGGGTGGAGGTGCCACTTCCCTCCCGTCCCCAAAGCCCCCCCCCCTGCCCCCCCCCAGCCCCCCACCTGCTCCAAGGGGCAGCACCCCCAGGTGCCCCCGCTCAGCCTGCAGCACGTGCTCCCATCAGGGCAGCTCGTCCTGTCGTCACAGCGCACGTCCCCCCCCCGACCCCGCAGCGCCGGGCTCTTCTTCAGCCAGGGCAGGCGGCCCCCCCCCTGCAGGCACGTCCCCCCCTGGGGGTCGCAGGTGTAGCCCTGGGGGCAGCAGTGGATGTGGTCGGGGCAGCACACGGCCTGGGGGGGAGACAGAGCGGTGTCAGCACTGACCCTACAGCGGTGGGGCTGCCCCTGTGCCTTTAGGGGTAGAGGGGACGACTGACCCCATCCCGTGGAGGACAGGGGGACGTCTGTCCTCGTCCCAGCTTGGGGACAGGGGGACATCTCCTGTTCCATTGGGGATGCTGTCCCCAGCCCCCCAGGTCCAGGAGGACATCTGTCCGTGTCCCAGCACGGGGATGGGGGACGCTCAACCCCACCTCATGCAGGACATGGGGACAGTGGCTCATTGTGGGGACGTCTGTCTGTGTCCCATCATGGCACGGGGCACACCAAACCTCGGGGACAACCTTAAGGACATCTGTCCTTGTGCCATCAGGGAACCTAGGGACAAGGGACAACCAACCCCACCCCATGGAGGACACGGGGACATCTGTCCTTGTCCCCTCACGGCTCAGGGGAGACCCAACCCCATCCCATAAAGAACACGGGGAATCGGTCCCTGTCCCAACATGGGGACGCCCAACTTCGTCCCTTGGAGGACATGGGGACAATGGCTCTGGTCCCATCACGGGGACATCTGTCCTCGTCCCCCTGTGGTTCTGGGGACACCAACCCCACCCCATGCAGGACACGGGGACATCACTCCTCATCCCATCACAGGACGGTGACAATGCCCTCGTCCCACCCGCCCCCCTGGGACCCCCCCAGGTCCCCCCATCACCTGTTCCAGGGGGCAGCAGCCCCACTCCCCGGAGCTCAGCCTGCAGCACGTGTTCCCATCAGGGCAGCTCATCTCATCGTCACACTTCACGTCACCAACTGAGGACAACGCGACGAGTCACCGATGTCCCCTCCAGCCCCAGCCGGGGCCGTGGGGTGGCCGTGGGGTGGCTGTGGGGTGGCTGCGTCCCCTTACCGTGCGCCACGTCCCGCCCCGAGGTGCACATGGAGCGCTGCAGGTCACACGTGGTGCCTTGGGGACAGCAGTGCCACCCATCGCTGCAGCACACCGCCTGTGTGGGGACAGCGTGGTGACAGCACGGCACCGAGTGCCACCACCACGGGGGACGTTTGGGGACACACTCACGTTCTGTAGGGGGCAGCAGCCGTAGCGCTCCGATGGCAGCTGGCAGCACGTGGCGCTGTCGGGACAGGCGGAGCTGTTGTCGGGACAGGTCAGCCGGCGCAGCGCTGCGGGAGCGGCGTCACCATCAGCACGTGGGGACGGGGATGGGGCAGAGACAGGGCTGGGATGTGGGGACGTGGGGACAGGGATGTGTCGTAGGCAGCGCTGGGATGTGGGGACACAGGGATGGGTCGCATTCAGTGCTGGGACAGGGATGGGGGAACGTGAGCACATGGGGACATGGGGACGTGCCATAGTCAGTGCTGGGACATGAGGACAAAGGGACAATATGAGGTGGTGGCACTGAGGCACTGCAGGCCACAGGATGAGTACAAGGGGATGTGGGGACATCATGGGGACGTGGGGACACAGGGACATTCCGTACACAGTGCCAGGACATGGGGTGTCATAACCACTGCTGGGACATGGGGACAGGGGGACAGGGGTGTGCCGTACCCAGTGTCAGAACATGGGGACATGGGGATGGGGACATGAGGACAGGGATGTGTCATATGCACTGCTGGGACATGGGGACACAGGGACATTCCGTACACAGTGCCAGGACATGGGGACACAAGGATGTGCCATGCCCAGGGACATGGCTTGGGGAAATGGGGACACAGAAGTGCCATAGCCACTGCTGGGACATGGGGCCAGGGATGTGGGAATGTGGGGACATCGGAGACGTGCCATACCCAGTGCTGGGACGTGGGGACATGGGGACAGGGATGCACCATACCCAGTGTCAGAATACGGGGACATGGGGACGTGAAGATGGGGCCAAGAGGACAGGGATGTGCTGCACCCACTGCTGGGACGTGGGGATGTGAGGACATGGGGACACAGGGACATGGGGACACAGGGACATGCCATACCCAGTGCTGGGACATGGGGACACAAGGATGGGGACATGGGGACAGAGATGCTCCTCACCCACTGCAGGGACGAGGGGCTGAGGTCGCGCCGCGGCACCACGCGGCCTCTTCCACGCTGGGAATTTGGTGGCCATGGCGAAGTCCCCCACGGGCGACACGCAGCGTCCGCGCTCCAAATCGCAGCTGGTGGCGCGGGGACAGCAGTGCTCCTCATCCCGGCAGCACACCGCCTGCGCGGCACCGACCGCGTCAGCCCCACCGTCAGCCCCATCCCCGCCGCGTCGCCCCGCGGTGTCCCCGTACCTCCGGCATCGGGCAGCAGCCCCAGGCCCCCCCGGCGGCGACGCAGCACGTGGTGTTTTGGGGACACTCGGAGGCGCCGTCGGGGCACCGCAGCGCCGTCACCGCAGCGACCGCAGCGAGGGACAACCAGAGCCTCACCGCCGCCCTCATGGCTGGGACGCCTGCGGGCAGCACCGCCCCCCCCGGGCCTCGGTTTCCTCGATCCCAAAGCTCTGCCCCACAGCCCCCCCCGCCCCGCAGCTCCTCCAACCCCCCCGCACCCCCAATCCCACGACTCCCCCACCCCGCAGCTCCCTTGGCCCCGCGGCTCCTCCAGCCCCATAGCGCTCCCGAGCCCTCAACACCCCCCGCCCCACAGCTGCCCCCACTCCCCAGCTCGTTCCATCCCGTAAGATCCTCCACCCCATAGCTGCCCTCAGCCCTGAACCCATAGATTCCTCCCACCGCACAGCTCCCCCCACCCCACAGCACCCCCATTCCATAGCTCCCCTCACCCCATAGCTCCTCTAACCCCATAGCACCCCTGACCCCGTAGCACCCCCTACCTTATAGCTCTCTCCACCCCATAGCTCCCCTCATAATAAATCCCACCCCATAGCACCCCTGACCCCATAGCACCCCGTGCCTTATAGCTCTCCCCCCCCCATAGCTCCCCTCATAACATAACCCCACCCTATAACAGCCCCTCACCCCATAGCTCTTCCGACCCCATAGCACCCCCCACCCCATAATACCCCCTATGCCACAGCTGCCCCCACCCCATAGGTTCCCCCACTCCACAGCTCCTCCCACCTCATGAGACTCCCCCACCCCATAGCTCCCTTGACCCCATAACTCCCCCAGCCCCACAGCACAATGATCCCATAACAACCCCCACCCCATAGCTCCCCCAACACCATAATACTCCCCCCCCC